TTTTCTAAGTTGTGACTTCAGTAAATAATGTCACTTTTTTTGCATCTTTACTGGCAAGGGTGGCAAGGCATGCATTGCAAGGACATCTGTGACCAGTACTAAGGCTGCAACTCTAATCCTGGGCCCCTCCTGGACCCACAACAGAGAAGCCCCTGCCTCAAATGATGTCCACAGTTCTCCTCTCCTGGTCTGATGGAGGCAGTTAGGACTGGACTGCAAGTGTTAAATGCTTCTGGTGCCCATGAGTGGGCCAAAGATTGTGAGCCAAGGATCATGGGCCTCAGAACATGACCCAGGCCCCAATCAGGCCCCTGCATGTATTTCCAGAATGGCCAGTCCCTGGCTACTAGGAGGAGCTGCTGACAGGCTGGCATCCCTAGTCTCCAGCCCTGTGGCCCAGTTGCCAGAAGATGCTGGAGACATCGGTCTCTCCTATGATCCATTCCCCAAAGTGCTCCAAATGCTGATGATTCCCAGCTTTACTCAATAGCAGACCCACCCTGCCTACTCAACAGATTCACAGGCCCTCCGATTTCTGTGGGCAACACTGGCCTCCTGATGCCCGCTCAGGCTTGTTGCTCCCCAGCTCTTCAGCGCCACCACCCTGTAGCTCAAGCCCTCCCACGCTCCTTCCTCACCCGCCCACCCCACGCCCATCCATTCCACTGCAAAGTGTTTCTTGGCTTTTTCTGTTTCTCGCCACCTCCACTGCCATCATCTCAGTCCAAGGTGGGCAAATTACAGCCCACGGAACACATCCAGCCACCTGCCACTTTTTCATAGTTTTATTGGAATACAGGCGTCCTCATTTGTTTTTGTATTGTTCGTAGCTGCTTTTGTGCTCCAACAGCAGCACTGAGTGGTTGCAATTAGAGACCATATGGGCCACGAAGTCTAAAATGTTCAGTGTCTGGCCCTTGTCAATCCCTGCTTTAAATCAACCCCCTATGGACTCTCGCCTGCACCACCGTGATGTCCCCTAAAGGGTCTCCCTGCTTCCCCCCTCGCCCTCCCACAATCCAGTGTCCATGCAGCAGCCAGTATACTCTTTCTAAAACAAACACCGGATCAGATAACTCCCTTGTTAGAAACCCTTCAATAACTCCCCATTCCACATAGAATAAAATCACCAAACTACACGATCCTGAGTGATCCAGCCCCTGCCTACCACTTCTCATGCCCCCACCCTCCTCACCGCTCCCTGCCTCCAGCCACACAGCTTTCTTTCACTTCCTTCAAGGGACCAGGCTCTTCCTCGCCTCAGGGCCCCCTCACATACCCTGATCCCTCTTTTTGTGTTCCCCAAAGTCCATGTACTGAAGCTTAATCCCCACTGTACCTGTTGAGGGTTGGAAATCCTATTATAGTATTTGAAAGGTGGGGCCTTGAAGAGGTGATTAGATTGTGAGGACTGTGCCCTAGTAAATGGATTAATAATGGTGGTCATGGGCATGGTTCTGAGGGCTTTAAAAGGAGAGCACGTGAGAGTCTCCCTCTCTTTGCTCCACCATTTTGCCATGTGAGAACCTTGCATCACTGTCACCACCACCAAGGCTTTTACCGTAAGCATTCCCTGACCTTTGGACTTCCCAGCCTCCAAAACTGTAAGCAATAAATTTTTTCTTACAAATTAACTCATTCCAGGTATTCTCTCATAAGCAACAGAAATGGACTAATACATGAGCTTCAGAGTCCTCATCTGTAAAATGTGATGTGGCTGTCTGACAGAACACAATCCATCTGGGGAAACACAGAGTCCTCACCTGCCTCCATTCAGGAGTGGGGGTGAACTTGCTTGCTTATGGTCTCATCCTAGAGGACAGAAGCCTGGGACCATACTGAAATGCAGGCTGACAAACAGCCCTGACCTTAGTATGTCTGATCAGGAGCCAGACAGCCTGTCATCCTGGAGGCTCAGGAATGTGGGACTTTACCTGGGGCTTGGGAGACACACAGAGATTGTAGAATGATAGCCTTGGGTTGGCCACACCCAGGAAGATTAACACTGGCTACCAGCCAAGGCAGGCACTCCTGTCCCCCAGGTGCAGGGATCACTGGCCAGCATGTTTGCAGACATAGCACGGTTCAGTTCTGCAGGGAAGGCTGAGTGGGACAAGTCACATAAAGGTATGGATCCGAGTTCAAATCCTTGTTCATTTATTAGCAGGTGACCTGGTCAAAGTGCTTAACCTCAATACCCTCTGGCTCCATATCTATAAAACAGAAATAATGTCACTATCCACGTCATACGGTTGTTTTATGGATCAAATGGCAAAGCATGGAAATGCTTCAGCATGGAGCCAGCACAGGCATTCAGGGAAAGTTACAGCTATAATTATTAACAATCACTAGGTGTTCACCACTCAGAAACAGGGTCCTCTCAGGGGTCTCTGTAAGCAGAGTCACGTTCAAATCAGACCACAACAAGAAAGGCAGAATGAGAACATCTTTGGGTACCACAATACTCTGACGTATGATTTCAATTTTTTGCATGCTTTTCTTCACTCTTTGCACTCTTCTTCACTTTATATATAAAAAAAATTTTACAGAGTAAACAAAGAGAAGCAGTTTCTGTGCTGAAGTGAAAGACCTTACCTCAAACGCAGCACAGGATTTGATTGGGTAGAGGTAAAGGTTGGTTACAACATGTGGCCCAAGGTCCCCATCCAGGACTCCCGTAGTTTTCTCCAAAGACATCTGCTGGGTTCTGGCGGCCTCATGCAGAGGCGGGCCCAAATCCATGGCATTCACAGCGGTGGACAAGTCAGTGCAAACCCCAGAGTCTGTGAGAGCATCTTCCTGAGTTAACAGACCACATCTCCCTATGATGGCAGGAATGTCCTGAGCCTCCCCCTCTGCTGACGTGGCTTCAGCCTCCCCAGCACCAGCCTGAGGGACAGGGTGGCCACCTGAGGAACCCAAGCAGGTGGCTATGATGAACCTGAGAAAGGTCTGGGCATCCTCCAGCGTAGACATGTATCCAAACGAGATCCTCACAGACCCTGTGGGATGCCCATCTAGGAGGTCGACATCGTCTCCACAGACATGACCAGCCTAGAAGAAAAGGGAAGTAAATCAACAGAGTGGCTCACTACCGTTGGATAAATTGAAAACAGTTTTGTAAACAAGTTTTGTTAATTTAAAAATTAACCTTGAAGAAAAAGACAGAACAAAAAAACAAAGGAAGGAAGGAAATAAAAATAAATAAAATTAACCCAGGAGAACAGAACTGCAACACTAATACGTGCTGTGTGACTGAGATGCAGTTCAGTTCCACACGTACCAGGGTCCACTTTCTGTACCTCACTTTGCTCACCTGTAAATTTGGGCCCACACCAATCTCAAGCTTCATAAAAAGCTTAACAGAAATACTTCATGGAAAGCATTTACCCAGAGCCTGGCACAGTACTGGCCACAGAGGGGTCAAAAGACAGACCAAAGTTTCAGAAGCATGGAGGGGACAGCCTCATGGTCTACCCAGGACTGAGACGGCTGCAACACCGCTGGCCATTCCTGTTAGCCACTGTCAGCACGAAAGGGAGGCAGCATCCCTGAGAGCTGCTCCTTGACAAGACAAAGAGGCAGAGAGGCTGCCCCTAGGAATGACCAGCCCAGGACCACTGTGCAGGCCAAATTCAGCCTGAGTGCTTGGCCAGGAGGTGGGGAAAAAAGGCAGGTGGATCTCGGTCTCTAAGCCTGGCTGCTCGGTGTTGGTTACTAGTCAGCCTGGTGCATCGGGCTGCCCCGGACACCTTCCCAGTGCTGGATCCAGGCCAGTCACTCAGAGAGGGAGATGAGCATTCCACACAGTCAAACGTTATATCTGGAACTGCATTTATTTGTGTTCTGAGACCCTCCCGCTCCCTCTATCTCTCTCCTTCTCTCCTCTCCCTCTGCTCTCTCTTTTTAAATAAAACCCAGTTCACGGTTAGCTGGGATCTAGCATACACAATATTAGGTGGCCACCAAAAGAAATTCAGGTTAGAAACTATTCCAAAACAAACAAGGGCTCTTTGCCACTCAAACTCCTTATGAAATGGTTCAAAACAGGCTGTACCCTTAAGTGAAAACCCTCAGCCCAGGGGAGAGACAGGAAGGGAGGGTGTTCTGGGAGACGCAGAATCCTGGAACGTTGGAAGAATTCACTCTACACCCAACCCAGAGGTAAGCGAATTCTAGCTCAGAGGCTATACCCTAGGACCACTGAAGTAGTCAAGGGCATGTTTTAACACATCCCTTGCTAACACCCTTCTCTGCCTTTAAATTTTTGTCCTCATAGTAAAAAATGAATCAGAAAGTACTGCCATGGAAATGATATCTTGAAGCATTTTCCATTTCTGTTGACCCCTCTTTCCTTGGTGCATCCAGGGTGGGCTTAGAGAAAAGAGTCACAGAGCCAGCCTCGCCCCAGACATGTGACCACCCAGAAGTGTAGTTGGAGGTGTCACCACTGGGTCTTGCCAACCAGCATTTGCACCCCAGGGTCCGGCACCAACCTGAAGATGCTTCTTGACCATCTCGTCACTTATCCCGAGGTGCCTCTGGCAGG